CAACTGTTATTTACAACCAGCACTCTTTGTGAAGATGGGCGCAAGGCGAACTGCCAAAACAGCAGTTTATTAACAACAGAACACCCCCCCTAGCTAGTCGTTGCTTCCATTACTTCTAGTAACATGAAGGCCGGAAGAGGTCAACCGTTAGCCTTGGACAAATTTAAAATTTCTTGCACGACCCCCCCCCCTTTCTGGAGGAGCTTTCCATTTACGACCTCGTCACGGGATAACCCCACCGTTGCGTATGTTTGGAATTTTCCAACAACCCCGTTTACCACCATGGGACTCAAGGAGGCTTCCACCATGACCACCACCGGACTCTTGGCCATCATAGCTATATACAGGGGGGGGGGCAAAAAAAAAGACATTTTGCCTCCACTTCCAGATGGATTTAAGCACATTTTACTCAACTCAGACCGAACGGTTCCAACTTATTATTAAAGAGTGCATTCCATTCTATAAGAAAATCTTCATAGTGGCCACGTACGTGGACGGCATCAGAAGAATTAGCCCTGGAAACATGGTGCACTGGTCGATCTCAATGGGGTCTTCGAAGGATCGTGTACCATAACGACCCTTACTGGAAAGCTAGTTCCGAGGGGATTTGCACAGTGGTAGCTAATGCCTCTAGAAAACTATCCAACATTAAATCGATTCACGAAATTGCGTAAGAGCTTCAGGCTGAAGCTCTTACGGTAGACCTCCTTGAGCCTGACGACGGTGACAGATGACGTCATATTCTGAAGACGGTGAGGGCAGTGAAGGAGAGCCTGCGTACACTAATAGAGGAACACTTAGGGAATACTCTGCTGAGGAACTCCCGTCAACGACAGCAATCTCTGCGAAGAAAAAAGAGCCGAAGTCCGACATAGGCAAAATGTCTTTTTTTTTTGGCCCCCCCCCCCTGTATATGTATATATCTGGTAAAGATATGTCAGTGAGGCCGAACTCCACCCACTTTCTTCCAAAGAGTCGTCAGAGCGGGAGCAAAGGTGGGAGTGGGGAGGGAGGACGGAGTATATCAACAGCTCGAAACGGCAATTTTTTTCTTGACACTCACAAAGCGTAAAGCGTCACATTACGACCCCCGTTTGGTGTAGGATGTAGGAATGACGCTGCCTCCGACCTTGCGAATACGACCCCTTTTCGTCGGCCGAATACGACCCCCCTCGTTGGAACTTTGTCCAATGGACGGTTGACCCTGGGCCGAAGCAATTGGCACTGACTAGTCTTTTTCTGGCATGCGCCATGCATTGAACCTCTATTAGGGAACACGGACATAGTTACATACGGTTTAGCGTATCGCTAATAAATTACTGAATGCCCTGGTCGACCTAGAATTCACGGCCATTAAGCTTTCAGATAAGTCCCGACCATTGCGAATGGGGCTTGAAGGAGACGACGAAAATTGGCTGAGCTGGGGCGTTACTTTCGGACCTCAAACCGAAGTCTTGACCTTTGGATCGTGATGTGTGGTTAACTGCACCATTTTGGCACCACTCACCAACCTCCCCACCCTCTTGACATAAGACACGGCACACAACACCATATCTTTCGCCAAAAGTGGGTCCAGCTGCTCGGAATAAAGAGAAATTTTGAAAAGCCTTTGAGCCACTTCGGGCTGATCCCGCTCACCAAAAAACCAACAAGCCAGATTCCGCCCAACTCACCCGTGGACGTACGAGTCGTCCACTGTTTACTACATTACTTTGACTAATTTATCTTGCCTTTGTCGAACGCAAGTGTTACGCTGTGACGTAAATTCGCTGCTCGACAAATTCAGAGTATTTTTTGAGTAATAGGTGGCCTGATATTTAAAATGGCTGAGTCACTCCATTCTTCACATACGTAGAACGATTCTGTTTGGCTGCCCATCCGTACTGTATCACGGCAACGTCGGAGGTTATCAAAACAGTTCGTAAAAAAATTAGATAACGACATATGTTTGGTTATACTTGTCAAGCCTGCTGCGCTACTCAATGCCCGGGAATGATCACCTTAATGAACTCGAGAATTTTGCCCATACGAGCGCAACCGAGCACTTCTTTGACCAAAGCTCTTCTACTGCATATTGGTTTGTTGCTACCCTCCTATCTATTATCTTTCTTTTTCTTTTCTCCTTTTTCACATTTTCTTCATCATTCCTTCTTCTTTCGCGTCCGCATGACACCTTTTCCTTGTCGCGCTCTCTGCTCACCCACTGAATTGTTTTTTTTTTCATTTTATTTGAGAACAAGCTATTACGACTTTTGTTCACCTGCGAGAGGAGGGATCCTACACAGCATCCCCTCCCTTATTTCTCTGCTCACTGGACTCATTCGCAATCAACGTCAACTGTTCGTTGGACAAAGTCCAACGAGGGGGTCGTATTTGGGGTGGAAAAGAGGGGGGTCGTATTTCGCGAGGTAGCATTAATTTTACAGCAGGGGAAGGGATGATTTTTCATGGAACGGAGAGCGGATTTGTTTGGCAAAGCTGGAATTTTTGGGCGGTGAGGGTGGAGTGAGCTGAAGATTGTTGCGCGGTTGCACATTCGATGTTATTATCACCCCCCGCCCGAGCGGCAATATTTGTGAGCGCCAGGGGAAAAAGGGGCGGGGCGGAGGTGGCTGTATCAACTAGTCAAACTGTAACGATTGCCTGTGTCTTAAGAATGGAACACTGAATAGAATCGCCTATGATGGCGATAGCGGCGAGGGTGGTGGAGGATGGCCGTGAAGGGTTAACCTTGAGAGGGGGGGGGTCGTATCGAGGCCCTCTAGAAGGGGAGGGGTCGTAAAATCTTCGAACATTGGTCCAACGTGACGGTTGACCCTTGTTCGCAACTTCTTCCTCCTCCTTCCATGTTTTCCTTTAGGCGAGGATGCAGTGGCGGCATGGCTCCAAATAGGCCGCGGTGATGTGTGTGTTTGTCTCAGAAGTATTGATTTCTCCGATTCAACGCATTGTGTTTTTAAATTGGCTTTTTAACAATCCTGGGTGTTGGTCAGTGAAGTGTTGTGTCGATTTTGTGCGCTGATAGTGTGTGTCGACGATTAGTGCGTCTGATATGTGGATATGTTTTCTCTGCTTTGTCTGTAAATATATAATATGATTAATGATTTGTAAAAAAAAAGCGCTTGGTTTATTAAGGAAGGATTTGTGGGCCGGACCTAGATCCCATATCCCATGGTCCATAAATTCGTTAGCCTTAAGAGCCATATACTCCTATGAGACATGAAGCAGGAAAAACGACAAAAATGCGGCCTGGTTTTGATATGAATGTTCGGAAAAGACTAGCTCTGGAGGGGCAGGCATGGACAACATTATGGCATTAACCGACTGGCCCGCGCCCCGATCGAAATCTGCTTAGCAATGTGATGAAGACGGAGAATAGTGCATGTATCGATTCTTGGTAGTGTCGACCTCTCAAAACACCCTTTGCGGGGGCGCTCCTCAGCTTGAGACAAAACAATGTGAACACGCGTAGCGTACTTCCGGTACTGTCGCCACGTTTACGCGTTTGTTTCTGGTTATCATCCTACTCTGAATTTACGGGAGAGGTGGTTTAACACGCTTAGCTCGTGTCGCATGTAGGTGCGTCCGGGGGCTCTAAAAATGGAGTCAAATGCCTAGGCCTCTCCTAGGCATCGGACACTCACTCTCTCTGCCCTATATGTGCTCTCTCTCGTGGACCGCATCCGAATACACCAGTAGCGTCCCATTGTAGGGTCTCTCTCTAGGTTTGTTTCTCTTCGCAAACTGTATCTTTCTTTTGTGAAACAAGGTATTTTGCCTCTACTGACCACAACTGACGTAATCTTGCCGGGCAGATATGCAAGAATGTTCCATGGCTATCCCTGCGAGGGAGACGATATGACCAAAAAATTAACCATTAGTCGCCAAAGTTCCCCTTAACAACCTCGTCGCCTTAAAAAAGTAACAGAGGCAAATTTAATTCCTCCGTTTCGATGTCTTCCCCCTCGATCTTATTTTTGCTGACTCATTGTTTCTGCACAGCTATCTCCATATCCCTTGTCCTCACTCCTGTTTAGAGATTACCACAGTTGCAATCGCAACACCAGTACTAATACTAATACAGACTTTTGACTTGGGTGGTGATATCAAAAGGACAGCCGAGTTATGCAGAACCCACTATCTATGGAATCTTCATAAATCGATTTGTAGCGAACCACAGCACGTGCTATAACCGTATGCCACAGGACTCCTTCCGACACGGAACTCGAGATGCATTGAGGGCGGAGTTTACGATGAGTTACGATACGAGTTTACGATCCGATACGATGTTTACGTGAACGCTCTGCTCTACGTCTCTGTTAAACGGCTAGAGGCTGACGGTGAGGGGTGGCCAGTCGCAGGGCGTGTAACGTCGCGAGCGTCGCCGGTATGGTTCTGCTAGGGTACCCCTACAAAAAGCACCTCGCGCGCAAGAAGGCAGCGTCATGTGGTATGTAGGACGTAAAGTGGTGCATTCTATTTACTTGACGCGAAATCGCCAAAGTACTCGCTGCCACTCGTCAGCCGACGCTACCTTGTTCTTTCGGGTACCCGCTCTGCTAGGGCGCTACGGGCATACCTTGGTTTCGGAACGCCCCTCGCCCCGCACCCTTACGTTAGGGGGCTTGTCTGCCTTCCCACTTAGTATATTCCCCTTCTCTGAATTCCGACCTTATCGTGGAATCCTCCTTTGGTCTTCTCCTGTTACTGCGATTTGAAAATGTTGCGTTCCAAAAGCTGGACCATAGCAGGTCTTTTTGGACGGTGACTTTAGATCTGGTCTATCTTCCTTGCTCCTTCACATTTCATAATTTCAAAATTTGACCTCCGCTTAGGAACTCGAAATATAATCGCCTTGAAAAAACGATTTCAATACTTGCACATGAACACGCGGTCGCGAAACGGATGTGTGATCACACTGGCATGGGACGAGCGTATACTTCCAGTGATTTCCGAGTACTGCTGATATGACAATGTTCAGGTGATCCTATCCAGGATGGATGGATCCGAATGGAAAGCAGCACTTCGACTTCAGATCGAGGCGCTTGCCAGACGTAATGATCTCCATCGACGATGTAATCGGGATTCAATTCGCTCGCGCACAGCGGTTGGTCTATTCATAAAGGCTTTTTATTCACTGATTGTTCAGTATTGTCTAAGGGAATCCAGATTTGAGCAATGTAAAATTTTATCATCAATGAGCGCTGAAATTGACTTACCAACGGTAATACGAAAGACAGGTAATTATAAAGGTTGGCTTGAAGGATATTATTAAGGTTGGTCGAGATCTTGAAAAGTTAGAAGAGGGCGGGGTTTCCCCTTAAATCCCGCCCCACCGGGTACCCCACCAGGAGGCCCGTCGCGCGACAAGAAGGCGAGTCAGCGGACGAGTCGCGCGCGTACTATAGGGATTTCGCGTCAAGTTAAATAGAGTGTCCCACTGCACGTCCTACATCGCATCACGCGCTGCGACTCGTCCGCGACTCTGCCTTCTTGCCGCGCGACGGGCCTCCTGGGGTACCCCGCTAAGCCAACATAGCATGCCTTCCATGAAGTCACTCAGACTAAACTCGGCGAAAAAAAACTATAAAAGCCAATAGCGGTCCAGCATCGTCGACAGAAGCATTTGCATGTAAAATACGAGAAAACGTGCTGTTTCTTAAAATAACCTCTTACTTACGCGAGTAGAGGAGGACGGAGCTCACAAATCAATCCAAGCAGAAGGGGCGAGCTCTTCACAACTAAGCGAAGGGGCGGAAGCCATCCACCAGTTCTCAAGAAGGGTACTGGCGTTCCAAAACCAAACCAAATTGTGGTTTCCGAAAACGAAGAAGTGATCTATTTCTATCAAGAAGCGCGCATGCACGCAACCTGCAGTCATAAATTATGAGATTTTGTGCTGGTAGTTTCCTAATATTGACTGTTTCAGGATATGGATATTAGGATTGTCAAATACGAAGAAATACGTTGTCGCGTCAGATGCTAACTATGCAGCACAATTCTATTTAGAATGCGTTTGCCATGCAGATGAGACGGAACGAATATTGAACAGGTCGGTGACGTCAAACACAAATTAGTCGATCGATTCTATGGATTTCTCTGCTCTGAGTTCAAAAACGATGATTGTAATGCGAAAATTTACTCGCCAAGGACATTCGGGCCGTAGTTCGCCCAATCAAGCGAGGACTTCTTATGCAATAGCCTACTTTCTGTTTCCCATTGTTCAAACTCTTGATCCACCTTTGCTACCCTATCGTAACCATTTATTTCCATTCAGGACCTCATCTCGAGATAAGAAGCGCAGGAAACCTAAACCATTCCGTGATACTTTGTCTACAATTAGCCTCCTACCGTTATATCCGTACCAAGTACGGTAAGCTTTTGCCTCATCCGTAAAAACTCGTGAAATTGGTTGTATTCAGATCTTTTTTTTTTTGATACCCAAGATTTGGACAATCCAATTACTGTGTTCGTGAACTGTCAGTCCCTGGTACCCTTCTACATTAGCCAAGACGTAAACTGTGACGGGTATCGCAATCTTGACCGTCTGTGTCACTTAAAGGGATATCCCACGATCCAAATGAATGGCGGAGTCTTGGACACGGCCTTATGTTCACCCTTGGCAGATTCCTCCTTTTCATTAGCGGGTTCCCCTTTCAAGGCAGCCCAAGGTGGAACGCACCAAGTGGGTATGACAACTCATGACCGAGTTAAATCGAGTCGTCTACAACTGCGTGAATGTGCTCTCAGTTACAGGGTGATTTTCTGGCCATAGGGTGATTGCTAACGACAATGCTTAACTTTGCGCAAAAAGACCAACCGCGCCACGTACGCAACGCCACAGAAAGTACCGCTCATTGTTACAAATTCACAAGCACTGACGCTATCTCTCACATATGTATGAGTCCCGAGTGCATAAACACAGGATATTGGGGCAAAACTATAACTTCTCGTTTGCGCCACACCCTTTGTTTTCATCCCTATTTCGTAACTGCTGGAAAGATTGACGTCGAGGGGGGGGGAGGGGGTGGGTAAAGCAGAGGGTTTATCCAGTTGTTGTACAGTTACTCGCTACTGGGACTCGTCCTAAACTTCCTATCCTGTGATAATTACTTATTTATAGTCAGGTCCCATCGAGACGATCCTTCCCACACGTTCCGTCGTCAATCAGAATGAACCGCGATGGTGGGAACAGTTTTCGATACATCGAAAAAGCGATGACTACCTTAGCGGAAGTTGCGAAGTACGACATCTATGGAAAACTCAGGTATCGATTGATTTCTCTTCAAACTCTTTTTCGCCGTAGTAACCAAATATGGTCTCATCCACTAAAGGGGCACATGGTGTGACAGTTGCTGCCGCCTAGAAATTCCTATTTTCGCAGGGGAGACAACAGAATTCTTTGGCGGACATCGAAGAAAAGAGTAAGCCGCTTCACGAACGCGCGCATGATTTGCACGTATTGCCTCCATGCCTTTATGCATGACTGTTACTAAGCTTTTCCAGTGAATGTCGCCAATTATATGGAAAATATTTTTCTCTTGGACGCAACAAAATAGCTGGGAACTAATTAACAAAGAAAAGCATAGAAAATATCTACATTGAAAAAGCTCGATGTTGGTCATTTCAGACCGATATGTCTTTATCGTGTTTGGGATTTATCGTCGGAATCGGTAACATGATGCGATTTCCAGGGAAAGTCTGCGAATATGGAGGTATTTTCTTCAATTAACTTTGAGCGTCAAAGTCAAGGATGACGCCGATGTCAAACCGCAATCTCTTACATTCCGTGAGGTCGCGCGGGCGTGGCGTCCAAACCTTCAAAAATCGTGATAAACTGAGTAACACGCAGCTATCAGCCTTCGCTCGAGGGCAGCTAATCAAAACACTCTAGAGTAACGCTTTGGGTAATCTACCTTTTGTGCGTGCAGCTTCTGGCAATTAAAGGTAAGGGGTATGGCTGGTAGGGCTTAATGAGGTCATGGAAGGACGTTGAAAAAAAGGTCTCAGAAAACCGCCCTGAGGCCTTCCACCAAGGCCAATAGGTCATCAAAATTGCTGCGGCTCTCGTCACTGGATGCACCCACTAGTCCTAACACATTTCCTTACGCACCTACCTTCATCGACAGTGCACAGCGATGAAGGCAGCTGTCGTAAAACCTCGTCCAGCGCGGATCGAATGGCATGGCAAAAAGGGTTGCTTTCAGCGAATGTTAGACCATTTCTTTTGGTTTTTCTTGACCACTGCATCTTTCACCTCCTCCGTTTCCCCGTGTAATGGGTGACCGATTCGGGGTGTCCCCAAGAGGCCCGTCGCGCGGCGAAGGAAGAGACGCAGACGCGGCAAAGGACGAGTCGCAGCGCATACTGTAGCGGTTAGGCGTCAGGTTAAATAGAGTGTACCATACTACGTCTCATATCGCACAGCACGCGACTCGTCCTTTGCCGCATCTGCGTCTCTTCCTTCGCCGCGCGACGGGCCTCTTGGGGGACACCCCGATTTTATCTATCCTTGCACTCGTAATATTTAATTTTTTATTATGTTGGATGTCGATTTTTGTTATTTTCTTACTTTTAAAATACTTTACTCATTTCTCATAGCCATCCAGCACCGTTACCTGTTCGCGTTGGATGCTCATGGGCACCAGGCTTCACACCGACATATAATCTTTTGGCTGGTTTACACTACTTTTTCGGCGTTTAAAAGTGCCTTCATTACTTTTCGACAGTTCGTAGAACGCTCGGCATTGTCTCAACTGAAATTAATAGTATCGATGCGCAGAGACCCCAAAAATACTGGATTAAGAGGGCGAAAATGACGAGGGTCACCAGAGGATTGAGGGCTGCTAAACTTCCAGATTTCTCGAGAGACGGGATCGAATTGAGAAAGATGACGTTGGGAGGAGTTTTGAGGGCTCAATCAGGTGCGTAACTAACTATAAAACCAGCTAGATTTTTAGGAGTACGCAGGCGCGCAGGGACCTCTTTCTGAGAGTAGCAGATCCTGGGAGAGCAGGGTCAACCCTACGTTGTTACGAGTAACAACGGGGGGTCGTACTCAGTTGAGCTTGGAGGGAGGGGGTCGTACCCTCTCGGTGGCCGACAGTGGGATTCTTGGTAATATCGGATAATAGCCAGCACGTTACGTTTTCGTAAGATGACTGATACTAGAGCATCTATAAACCACGATTCCCTCTAAATGAGCTTTCAAATGAATCAGCGAATTAGAAGGGCGCCCGAGGCGTGGCGCGTACCAAGGCAAGGAACGTAGTGCAAGCGCATGCTCGATACTTTCTAGCACATCCTAAGTTGAACATTACATTGGTCTTCCAAGAAGTTACGGGCAGTGAAACCTAAGAAAACTCGCGTTTTCGAGAAAATGGCTTGAAGAATACCCCACAAAATAAAAAGTAACAACGGGCTAATTTTTGAACTGCTGATCTTTCAGGAACGCTTGGGTGCTCGTTAGAAAGCTTGAAACCTGTAGTTTATTATACCGTGTTCAGCTTCCCAAATGAATGACTTTGAAGGAAGTTATGATCGTTTGAAGGTCAAAAAGTCGCGGTTCCAAAAAAATAGTAACGCAAACCCCCAAAAAAGTAACAACGGGACTAATTTTTGAACTACTGATCTTTCAGGAACGCTTGGGTGCTCGTTAGAAAGCTTGAATCCTGTAGTTTATTATACGTGTTCAGCTTCCCAAATGAATGACTTTGAAAGAAGTTATGATCGTTTGAAGGTCAAAAAGTCGCCTTTGCACAGAAAAAAGTAACAACGTACTAAATTTTTATTAAATTAACTTTCGAAGAATTTTTACCATGGTTGGAGAGAGAATAATTTGAATTTTCCAAATCAAATCACTTCGGCGCAGAAGCTCGAATATGAAGGAAGTTATAGCCTTAGAAAGAGGGGTGTAAAAATTGTGTTGCAATTGAAGAACGTGAAGGATTTCAGTATTTCAATTGGAGCGATAATTTTTTCTGACTTCTCATAAGTTTTTATCAGGTAATGTTGTCAATATTACGGTCACTGGTTCAGCTTATTTCATCTCCTAGTTTGGTAACCCTTTGGAGTACACGGATATCTTTGAATGCATCTCATTTTTTCGTGTTTTGCAAGCAGCGATGAATTTCTGTCGTGGATTTTGCTAAAGTTTCATCTTTAATGACTTACGTAGAAATAAATATTGATGGTAAACACTGTCTCTACACAAGTGTTACATACAAAGGGGGGTCGTATCAAATCACCCTGAAGGGGGGGGGTCGTAAAAAATTTCCAAAGAGTAACAACGATAGGGTTGACCCTGCCTGGGAGTCCACCCAGATTACGCTTAGAACTTACAGCACCTCCATTTTTCTAGGACAACGCATGACAAAATTTTCCGGACAAAAACCGGTATTGAAAGTTGGAACTGCCATGGATTCATCCTTGGCAGGCAGGTATAGGGAATTGAAGAAGTGAGGAAAAAATAATAAAATTACTGTTGTACAATAACGCTTTTTAGGCATATTCTTCGCTCCCTACATATTCTGTCAAATATTCATTGGCTTTCCGATGCTCTATTTGCACCTGTGTATCGGACAATATGCTGGCCAAACTGCTGACATTGCCTTTCAACGTCTTATGCCGATTACTTGTGGTTCGCATTTCGTACTATGTATTCGAAAAATTGAAAAGTTAATTGGAACGATTAATTCGGAAGGATAACCACGCGTAACTCACTGGTAGGTCTGAGCCGGAGCAGGAATGTTGAGGAAAACGGCAGGTGAGCGAGCGGTCGCGGTGCGTCGCGGCGCTGGATCGATGCGATCGCATCTGGTTCATAAAAAAACTAAGTTCAGGCAGCACTAACTACGAAACTAAATGAATAGAATTTTTTTGTTAATGCTTATCAATTCAGGCCTGGGATGGGCTTTTGTGTTCGCCGCTATTCCGGTGATAATTTATCATAACATTATATTCTTACGTGGTCACTACAGTATCTTTGGTATTCAGTGCTTTCTGGATAACTGATTTCTATGAATATCTATGGAAAAGACCGAGGTATTTCGTGGTCCTATATTACGCCAGTGTATCGTCGCTCTTTTAGGATGTCCGTATCCAAACCAGACAACGTGATGTCGTGCAAATATGGCTCTTCCCGCGCGCCGCGCGGACGAAATGGTGGCAATGTGTTCCACTTCCCCTTTCCAGAAACATCTCGTGGTATCACTGATTGGCTGAATGTGCGTGCACGTCAGCGAAGAAAAGTGCGCCAAAGAGAGTGCTGAACGCAAATGGTGCCTATCAGCGGCAGGGCTAGAATTAAAACCCAGTGACACTTTTGGCGAGTGAGTTGATGGAGCAATCCCTTCAGATCAGAATGAGGAACTAGGGTCTCCTAGCGCCGTTGTCGCGCACTTTCGAGCTGCGACAACGGCTCTTCTGTGCTACTTCCGTGAGCTACTCTACTCCACCCACTGCAGCACCATTCTCGAAGTAGGACTCTGCGTAGGATTCTGCTTTTGGGCCTAGTCACAACAGGGCCTATGCTGTTCCATAGCGCGAACGCTCGCGCTGCCCACTTGCTACGGCAGCGTGCTTTCCAGCACCTGTAGCAGATTTGATGCAGACACTTGGCATTCGACAACTGTCTGCTCATGGGACATGAACTAGATCTCCTGAAGCTACATATGATAACGACGCGATTTCACGATCTAACTGGATGAACGATGCGAGCCGGTCGCATTTCGGGTCCTTTTGATAAAGCCAAGACACGCTGAACATCGGCCGTGAGTTTCTTCAGTGAGTGCTCCTCCATGCAGGGTGTTTGTAGCTTTTGCTTAGTTCCGCACATTTTTTAAATTATTTTAAATATTTTTTTTATACTCTGGCTGCCCTATCTATTAGTTGATTCCGGGACCGGTATGCCATAGGATGCGGATACAGCTTGAAAGGCGTGACTTTTGCGTACGGCGGAAGCGTCCAAAAGTGAGGTACCAACTCTGAGACTCTTGGTTTCTTTTGAATGCGTCAAAAGACTTTAGGTTCGCTAGAATCCCATTCCAACAGAATGAAGCGTCCTTGTCGCCTAGTGAAATGATTGGGAGGACTCATTTGCAATTTTCAGAAGGGGGTCGTATTTAGGATTGAGAAAAGTCAACTACATCGAAGAGGATCCTATTTTGATTAAGAGGTCGTGGTTGAGTGAGATGATGAGAGGGTAGTTCGATCGGTTTCGGGAGTTCCTTCATTACTCTAGTTAAGGTGTAGTGTGGTCTTCGAAGCTTCTGATGATTCCTTTCAGGAACAAGACAGTGAACAGGACAAAATGAGACCACCACTAACAGTGCGTTACTTCGCAGGGGCGCCCCATATTCTACCTGTCCCTCCACGACTGAGACTTATGGTGTGATGAGGAGAAGCGAGGAAGGGCGACGGGGCGGTGGAGGATGGGGTAATTTGTTTGTTTGAAGAACAGGCAATGCGAAAAGTGAAACCCTCACTGCCCCACACCCAACGTTCGTAATGTGTAATGCACGAGTGTTGCAGCCACTCGATATTCTCTCACTACAGCCAGCTAGTATGCGAGCGCTCATTCTGCTATACGCATTCAGCGCGATGCGCCCTCAAGCGCCCATAGAGACAGGTACATCGTGCTGCTCTACGGCAGGATGGCCTCTTGGTGTTTGCCGGTGTGTGGCCGCGCACTACATGGATGGCATGGGGCGTCCAACCAGCCGACGGTTGGGGGTGGATACAGTAGGGAGTTCGCGGCGGGCGAGCGGCCGACCGGCCCCTCCCGTCGAGTTATAAGTGGCGAGCTATACCCGCGTATGTTGAAGTAGCGGTCTTTGAGCCCCTATTTTTTGAGAGCAGTTCCTGTCTTGAACGTGACCGGTCAAGCAAGTGCGCCGATCTTGTCCCTCTATACACTTTGCGTTGAGTGTTTCGAGAGAAGAGAGCCTCGTCGCGCATGCGCAAATCCAGGAGCCCTAACGCACTTTTTCGCGTGACAACAAGGCAGTCAGCGGACGAGTCGCAGCGCGCACTATAGTGATTTCGCATAAGGTTAAATAGATCGTGTACGACCTACATCGCACATCACGCGCTGTGACTCGCTTGCTGACTCTCCTTGTCGCGCGACGGGCCTCCTGTCCTGTACCCAGGATTTTCTCCTGTTCAGTCACACTCTCCCGCGCGGATAATCACTCTCGCAACGCGTGAGCTCTCTGTGCTTGCGCGGCATTCACTCTCCGACACTATCATGGTACGAGGATTTCCCTCGACTAATTATTCATCCCTGATGTGTAACGCGAAAGGTGCTAACAATGGATTAATGTATAAAGAAGCTGCTAAGTCTAATCCCATGAGACATATAAAGCTTAGACTACTGAAATCATAAAATTACCTGACAGTGGACGGACTTATCAATAATCATTGTTTCAGCTTTTTATTCTCCTCGTACGAGGTCTTTCACTGCCGGGAGCCAGCGTTGGCCTGACGTTTTTGTTCTCGTCGGCATTTGGCAGTATTTCATCACTCAGATGTAAAGACGATAGAAATATGTAATATTTTTATTGATTGACTGAATAGGTTTGAAGCTTTACCTAATTAACTCTCTACAGATGTGGGCAGCGGCTGCCGAGCAGGTCTTGTTCCGAAATGGGTGTTGGCACTGGTGCACTGTTCTCCATAGCTGCTTACAGTCGCTTTCGGAATAACGTATACCGTGATGCTGCCTTCTAGTTTAATGTGGAACAATATATTAGGTCGGTCCATAATTTTTGAGAACCTTTGGTGTTTTTCGACTTAATTACTTATCTTATTTCTCTGATGTATTTATTCAGCACAGTATACATCACATTATTACACATATAATGCGAAGGTGGGTATTCAGTGTCCCCTAGGCTCTTGATAGATTTCTGTTAGCTATCGGAGTTAGTGTCGGTTCTTGACACTTTATGGTGATTCAAGTGAGATTTCTTCTCCAGAAGGTGATTGAGAGAGGAGAGCGGATAGTCGTTCGTTGACGCAGGATTAGTGCTATAAGGCGGAGCTAAAAGAACTGACCGCCCGAGAGTCTCCAATTTTTTAGGAATTTTCTTAGCAAGGCGGGCTCGAACGACCTCAGAAAAAATAGATTTTGTCTTCCTTTGCTTTCAAGTTGAAGGCGTTGCCATCAAGCTGTCAACGATTCTTCCCATCACTGACACTGGTATTAGTTGATGCCGGTCTCAGCGCAAAGGCCCTCCCGTATTGCGCCAACGACTCAGGAAGTTCGAATTCAGAGGGAGTTGGGTTTTTACTGTCAGAACTCCCGAATCGTTTGAGCAAATCTACTGCGGCTCGTGGATTTGTTAGCACACTGCACCCAGTCCACATCACCAATGAGTATTATAGATGGTCATCCGAAGGAACTATGGGAAACCAACAGGAACTTGATGATGTCAGATTGGGTTGAGAACTGATTCGGGACTACAATTTTCCTTCGATCAGAACTCTATGAAAGTCCACAAGAGAGGCACTGAATACCCACCCTCGCATTGGCGATATGTTGTTAATAATAATGATGTATACTATGCTGGATAAGTAGATCAGAGAAATAAGATAAGTAATAAATCGAAAAACACCAAAGGTTCTCAAAAATTGTGGACCGACCTAATATTTTTAGCCGGAATTATATTTTTAGAATTTACAATTTTCGTACCATATTTTAAAAGCATT